TTCACCTGCCTGAGATTAAAACCAGGCCCAGGAGAGGGCAGGGCTCTGCCGCTGGCATTTCCAGGGGGCCCCTGCACCCAATCCCCACCTCCCCCCTGGGTGGCCACAGCCCACATCTGGGCCAGCCTCCGGTTGGTTAGGGGGGGTGGCTTTTGCTCTTTTTTTCAAGAAATCCCCACAGCAAGTCACGTTGCTGAGCTATGGATCCTTCTGGAAGGCATCCCTTCTCGGTGGGTCTGTCAGGAGCTAGCAACGGGCAGTGTGCCTCAAGGAGGGCTGGGGTGGAGGGCACGTGCCCACGTGGGCCCTCGGGCCCACATCTCTCACCCTCTGACCCCACCTCAGGTGTGACTTGGCTCTGCTGGCTTGCGTTGGACAAGCGCAAGGGGAATGTTCTTGTCACCAGTTTGCTGACCCCAGGGCTGAGAGCACTGTGACTTGGGAGTGACGCAGATGCTGGGACTTCCCGGCTTCTAGTCGGTGCTGCCAGCCATGCTGCGTCCATCCTAGGGACACATGCCCACTCTGACCCCAGCAACTGCACACTGGTGGCAGTGAGCACTGGCTACAAGGGGACCGGGCTGCCACCTTTGGTAACGGGCTGAATTCTAACACATCGCCCCCTGTGACTCGTGGGATTTCATTCCCTATTCCTTGTCCCTTCCATAAAGGTGAGGGTGGGCCACCCACATGGAGGAGGCGGCTGGGTAGCATGGGACCAGGCCCCCTGGGGGAGCACAAGTCTTCTCTCTCCTGGCAGCCAAGGGGCTTAGTTGCTACCAGTGTCATGACTCTCCTCAGGAACACGGCAAGGAGGGCCAGGAGGTCTGGGATCATTGAGCCTCCCTGAGCCTCAGTATCTACATCTGTGAAATGGAAAGCTATGTTCTTGCCCCCTTGCTTATGAGTTGCAGTGAGGGATGAAGACTCCTGGGTTTCCCATCAGATCCATGCGAGTCTCGGGGCCTGGGGACAGGAGGCGTCAGGGTGGCAGTTGTGTGACAGGCCTGAAAGTCACAGGGCAGGAGTGAGGCAGGCCAGGGAACCTACCACAGATCTGTACACTAGCCTTGTGCCAGGAGAGAGCAAATATCAGGAGGCACGAGTCCGTCTCTGAGGAGGTTTGCAATTCAATTAAGCCAATTAAGGTCTGAAAGATGAAAGAGTACCAAAATGGTACGTTCCCTTCACTTTTAGTGCCTACAAACCGTTCTAGGCAGTCAGCCCAGGCCAGAAAGTCTCTGTCAGGCCTGCAGAACTGATAGGCCCGGTCACTTCTGTTCTTGGCCATTCCAGTGATGGCTACTGTCCTTATTCAGAATGAGGGAGGCAATTGCCCAGGCTTAAAGAGAACCCAGAATAGTATATGCCATTTGGTCTCTACAGCAGCCAACAGTCACGCAAGACAGACTGATTTAACTGATGGCTCCTGTCTGCCTTGTTGCCTATAGAGTGAATGAAGACGAGGAAGATTAGCATAAGCACAGTGTTCCCCGAGAGGGGACCCCCACGCCCAGACCTGGGTGGAGCCCCTGGGCACACTGAGAGTGACCTGCTGGGGGTCAAGGCATTCTCGCGCCTCGTCCCCTTGCCCTCCCTCGTGCTCTTCAGGATGGCAATCCCCCATAAAAGGCCCCTGTTCACTGACTCCTCCAGGGCCCGTCCCTGCCCAGGGCTGACCGTGTAATGGACTTCCTGCCAGTTCAATAACCGCCTGTCTCAAAAAGCTTGCGACCCCAAGAGCAGGGAAGACACGCTCACAGGTTACTGCGATGCTGAGCAGAGTGGGATAGGGACAGGGGCCGGATTACAGACTCATCAGCGATCAATTTTGGCAGAGGCTCTGTGGAGAATGTTCTGCTTGAACTGCCGCTCAGATTTGTCAGAGGTCATCAGGTAGAGCGGGGACAGAAGGCCATGCAGGGCAGGGTGCGTCCGGAGCGCAGGGGGCTGGCCGGGCCATGCACTGGGGCAGGGCGGGTGGTGCCACGGGTACGCCAGTGTGAGGTCCCGGCGGAAACAGGGTGTGGGGCTTTCCAGAAGCCAGTGCAGCTTGGAGGCAGCGAGAGTGGCAGTGCGGGAGCCAGGAGAAGCGGTGACCCAGAGCAGGGTGGTGACAAGCTGTCCGACAGGAGGGAAACCGATGAGGTGGGAGATGGAGAGCTGGGGCCTGCTTGGCAGTGGGGGTTGGGGGGCTGAGGGCGAGGGAGTGCCCCCAGCGGCGGGTGGGGTGCCAGGGGATACCAAAACTCAGAGGGACAGCAGCGCCGGCTGACAGGAAGTGGTGAGGGCAGGAGCGCCCTGCGTCCCACAGAAGGTCAGGCTTCGTCTCTCTGCCTGGTTCCCTTACCATGAGTCACCACAGGCCCAGTAGGCCCAGTGATGACAGCACAGCAATTCGGAGCAGTTCAAGGAACCTGTGTGGCTGTCTGGGCCACTGCTGTTGCTTAATCGAGGGCAGGGCCGCGCTGGGGCCACAGTAGGGCCCAGGAGGGGAGGACAGAACTCACCTTCAGGGAGCCCTGTTTGTGGGGGGCGTAGGGGATGAGAGGGCTGTGCCTCGGGCATGAGCAGGTGATGACGGTGTGAGCTCCACCAGCATCTGCCCCTGAGCCCACCCACCTCTGGATCTTTTCCTCTGTCACCCCCCGGAGCCCTCGAATGCCATCCGGGTGGGGCTGGGCACCTTCCAACCGAGTCTTCTCCAAGTGGGTATAGAGGTCAGAAAGCTAAAAGGGTTCCAAAAAGGAACAAAATCATTCATCTGGCGTCGCTTCTCGAAAGAGCCCCAGGGAGTCCCTAGGCAGCTCTGTGGGGCCACGCAGGCACCTAGCTGGCCCCTGGGGCCCTGGGGCCCGAGTGGAAGGTGTGGAACGTAGGCCAGTGGCCTCCCTGTTAGATGCATCGGAGCCTGGGGTGAGCGTGGCCATTGCCTCAGCCTGGGAGGGGGCATCCACCTCCTGGGCTGACAGCATTGGGATTCGGCTCAGGGACAATTGCCACACATTCTTGCTAAATGCCCCCCTACCCCTAGCCCTGCCAGGGCTCACACCTCACACAACCCATTGGTTGGTCTTCTCTCAGCGGCCCTGTTGGCCTGGGGCCTTCTCCCAGAGCAACCTGTGCCTCTTGGTGGGCTGAAACCAGTGCCTGCACAGATGAACCAGACCCTGTCCCCTCCGCTGGGGATGCGGACCCAGCACTGCTGGTTCCCCCAGGTCATTGCGTTGGGAAGGGAGAGACATGGCAGCGGCACCCAGGGTCAGAGAAAGGTGTGCCCAGCAGGAGCACTGTCCCGGCTTCTGCCCCTCCAGTCTGTCCCTACCTGGCAGCCCTGTGCTCCGTGATGGCCCGTGTCACTGGTGGCCCCACGGGATCTGCAACCCCTGGCTCCCTCCGACCTGTCCCTTTACCTGCCTTCTCGCTAGCATCAGGCTCTCTTCTCTCAATGTGCACCTTCCAAGAGGCCTTCCCTGGCCACCGCCTCCCCCGCAGTGAAACCATTTTCTTTGTCAACTCCTTCCTCCGCTGGGGACCCGTGTCCCAGGCAGAGAGCACAAGAATCCATTCAGTCCTGTCACCTCTCTGTCCCCAGGACAGACGGCCAGTGCGGGCACATAGTAGATGCTCAGTAAGGATTTGTCAGATGGCAAACTGGAAGGACGGGCTGTGGGAAGATGCGTGGGAGTGGAGAGGACAGCGTGTTCTCTTGTCTGCCATTTTGTTCCCACATCTTCCAGCCATGAAGGCTGCTCCATGGGGAAAGAGTCTGGAGGATTAACACTTAGGTTCCCAAACTTAAAGAATGTTGACCACTGTGGGTGGTCATTTTCTGGGCTGCCTCTCTGCGTCCCAGACCTCACAGGTAGGTGCTTTTTCTTGACAACACGGAGCCAGCATCCAAAGGAACTGAGGCCCCCATGTGTCCCGAGGCCCCTCGGGGTTGTAGGCATATGGAAATGGTCCTATGAATCCGTCATCATGGGGGGGCAGAAGGCTATGGAGGGGAGCGGATGGCTGCGTGCTGTGGCACAGGGTGATGGGGAGTCACCGGTGACCTGTCGCTGCTTCCCACTTTCTCCTATGTGCCCTGTCCACCACCTCTCCCTTTCTACTCCCTTTCTCTCCTCCTCCCTATTCCCCCTCTCCCTTCCCACTCCCGCCCTCCTTCTCCCTCCTTACTCCCTCCCTCCAGGCCACCCCACCTTTCTTACCCCAGCCCCCCAGGCACCCTCAGGGCAGCAGAGACACCCTGCACACTAAGCCTTGACCTGGCTCCCAGCTGGCCCTGTCCATGGTGGCTTGGCCTGCTTCCCAGACCCCACACAGCCCCAAGCCTGAAACTGTGAGCCACAGAGGCTGAGCCAGAAGACCGCTGCCACCACCACTGTAGGGGATTTCTACCTGCCATGGTGGGCCAGTCCTAATCAGACAAGAGCAGGGAGTGTGATGGAGTGGACAAGCTTTCACTCAAGGTGGGGCAGAGACATGGGGAGAATTGTGGCACGGATAACCCCCCCCCCAACCTGTGCCACCGTTCAACCCCAACACATCACTTCTGCTTCAGTGGGGATTCCTAGACGGATTGAGAGGTGGCTGCGGACCACTTCTGGGAGACACTAAGGCTTCCTCCTGCCCCACCTAGGCAAGTCCTCCTGCCTTGGGTGTTCATGCCGGGAAGGACCAGGGGTTGGCCTGCCAGGTGGGCCTGGCAGGGCATGAGGGCCACCAGCCCAGCCTCGGAGGCAAATTTTGCAATCAGCAACTCATGGCTCAGGCTGAGTGCAGATCTGCAGAGAATTCTGGAAGAGTGGACCTCAGTTTTGTCTCAACTTCACCCCTGGCTTCTCACCTCTCTCCAGGTGTCCGTGTTCAGCCACGTCCCCACCACAGCTCCCTCCACAACACTTCACCCAGACCTTGGGACGCCTGGCGGCCGCCTGCCCCTAATACACCTGTGAAGAGGTCGGGCACCCTGTCCTCCCAGCACAACAGGCAGGATGGGCGACATGGCCAACAGTTCCATCGAGTTCCACCCCAAACCCCAGCAACAGCGGGAGGCCCCCCAAGCAGGTGGCTTCGGGTGTACCCTGGCTGAGCTGCGTTCCCTCATGGAGCTCCGAGGGGCTGAAGCACTGCAGAAGGTCCAAGAAGCCTACGGGGATGTCAGTGGGCTTTGCAGGAGGCTGAAGACCTCGCCCACAGAGGGTAAGACTGCCAGCAGAGCCCCAGCGCAGGCCGCGTCTGTGCCAGGGACATAGGGCCATGGGCCATCTGACACCCCCGCCCCTGTCTTCAAGGGGCATCCTGAAGATGTTCTGTACCCCCTCCCCAGGGCAGGCCTGGCCAAGGTGGCGCTCCTGACCCTGACTGTGCCCTCCCGTAGCAACTGTACCCCACCCCACCCCCCAGCAAGAGATGCTCTGTGTGGGGCGAGGAGGTCATCCTCTGCGCACCGGGGGTCCTCGAGGAGCTGTGGCCTGAGCCCCTCCGTAATCAGCAGCTCCTTGCTGTCGCCTCTTTGGATTAAACAGCCATCGAGCAACAGAGAAGGGGAAGGAAGAGGACAGCACGATGTCGGCATGCGCATGCGGGCTGGGCCCCCAGCTGGAACCCCAGAAGCTCTTCTGAAATGGGGTGGGACAGCCTCCCAGCGCAGAGGAGGAGGAAGACAGGGCCCCTGTCTGTATGTCCCAGGTGCCCTGTGTGCTCAGCCCTATGTCCAGTTAAGGGGCACAGGAAGAGGCAGGGGTGTAGGGGGGATGTCTCTGGAAAACGAGTGGAGCAGAGTGCTGAGCACAGTTGCTGCTGGCCGCCGGCCATCCCATAGAAAGGCAAGCCTGAGGCAGTATGGATCTGAGAGGAGCTGGTGCAGGGAGCTTAAGGAGGCTGAGGAACCTCCTCTAGAAGGTTCCAGAGGCAGAGGCCCAGTGGCCATCTTGGGTCCCTGCCGCTACCCTGGAGCCCTTTTCCCCCTGCTCTGGAGGCCAAGCTCTGGCCTGCCCCGCACCAGCCTTTCCCAGCCCTGCCTGCCCGGTCTGCCGGGAGGCTGGGACCCCCAGGAGCCAGGTTTGGCCCCAGACTCCAGGAGTTCCAGTGTTTTTCTGCCGTGGCTGGCTCCTCCCTGGCAGGACTGCTAGGGCCATCCCAACCCAGTGCCACGCCTGTTTGCCACCGCTGATCGATCGCAGCTGTCACACCTTTGTCTACCCCAGGCCCTGGTCATCCTCGTCCCCTGCTCCCTGGCCCTATCCATCTGTGGGGCCACATGGGCTGGAGCAGGGGGCAGAGATGGCCCACCCAGGACATGGTGGGCCCAAGGGCCGGGTGAGAGTGTTCCCACCCAGCCAGGCCAGGAACTTCCAGCCTCAGTGGCCTTCCCAGGGCCGCCTGGATCTCTCTTGCTTGTGCTCTAAAGGGATCCAGCCTGGTGTGTTGTGTTACCGGGGCAGATGGCTTGGCTCAGGGCCAGAGGGATCTCTCTCCTTCCCTCCTCCTTACCCCTCCCAACCAGGATTTGGGGCTAGGGGGGAGGCTGGGGTGGAGGGCCATTTAGCCGCAAGGGCTATGGCCTCTCCCAGATAAAAGGAAGCAGATGGGCTTCAGCTGGCAGCTCTTTCCTCTGCCTGTCAGGCCTTGTTAAATATTTAAAATGTCAAGGCCCCTGGGAACCTGCCTGATTCTGCCACAGCGCTCTCCGGAGCTTGCCTGGTGCCTGTGGAGGGGAGGCATGGAGAAGGGCAAGCGCCCAGGTGGGCGGCCTGGCTGCAGCAGAGGGATCCAGCCAGGCCTGATCTCCAACATGAAGCATGAGCACTGTGATGACGACCCCTCCCATCCCCAAGCCCGGGAGCCCCAGCCCCCACCACACCTGCTGCCTTGGCCCCGGAATGCTCCTCCAGATGTCCCCACTCCTGCCCAGGCACAGTGGCCTCGGCTTTGGGCCCCTCCCAAAACTACATCCCCAGGCCCCCACATCAATGCCCTGTCAAGGTGTGCTGGCAGATTGGTGCTTTGGGGAAGGCGGTGAGTCTAGGGCGGTGCGTGGTGTACCGGGGGAGGAGATTCCAGCCGTTCCTGGCCATAAGCACATCAATGGACTCAGCCTTTGTCACTATCCAAGAGGATTCCAGAAGCCAGGGAACCTGGGTCTTGGGCCAAGCTCAGTGGTAAGCCCCCTGGAGGGACCCGGGTCCCAGCCCTTCCCCTGTCTGGCCTTTACCAGCAGTCATGGAAAGGAGAGGGCAGATTATGCAGGAACCACACGATGTGGGCCTAATCCAATTCCGATGGCATCTGGCCTCAGCTCTGGGTAGGGCGCTCATCTGTGTCTATGCCAACCAGCCGGCCCCCGCCCCAGTGCTCTGGCCCTGGGCCACCGTTGGGGGCCTGCTGGTCAGGCACATGCTTAGAATGAGAGGGGCTGCGCCTGCCTTCTGGTGCCCACGTGAGCACCTGAGCAGCTGCCAGGACCCCTGAGCCCGGCAGGAAGACCACAGCCTTGGGCTGGTGTAGAGCAAGGGAGAGAGAAGCATTGGTAGAGCATCAAGGGCAGCTCAAGGCCAAGGAACAGGCTGACGGTGGGAGGGAGAGAGGGAGGGAAGGGGAGGGAGGAGGGACTGGAGCAAGCTTGCTCCTGGGGAAGGGGCCCCAAGGTCCTGGCTTCTGTAGGGGATAAGCCATGCCGGGCGAGGTAGGCAGGATGCAGACTTACGGGGCCATGGGGACCCGTGCCCTTTCTCAGGCTGGGATCATGGATATCCTGGGGGTCTAGGAGAGCCAGGGTTCATAGTGCCTCCCTAGTACTTACCCCACATGTCATATGTCTTGTAGCTTAAAGACACAGGCCTCAGTCAGGAGTGGGGCACAGGCCCTCAGCTAGAACCCCAGCCCCTAGGAGCCGAGGTCCTGATCTTCTCCCAGACACCCCGTTGGAAAGGGAAGAAGGGCAGGGACAGCTGCGGCTCTGCTAGGTGGGGGGCACAGCGTGTGATCGTCACCAGCTGGGGAGATTCCAGGCTCTTGTCAGGCCTTGTGCCTCAGCGGGGGGTCCCACCCTGCCCCTCCCCCAAAGTCATATGTCCCCGCCCAGTGGACACCCACCGTCCTTCCTCCCAAGGTCTTCTGCATCCCACTTAGCACTTCCTTGCTTTCAGGTCACCTGGGGGCCAGGTCCCGTGTGCCTTCCCAAGCCAGCTGGGAGCACCTCATAGGGTGGGGACCCCCACCCCCATCTGCCCTGCTGGTTGCTCCCTGCCCCCTCAGGAGGCCGAAGGAGTCACAACTCCTCAGGACTGGGAACTGTAAGCAGCCATCTGTCCACTAGGTGTCAGTGTGGGGCTGGACACTTGCCGGGCAGGCCCAGGGGGCTGTATCCCATCTGCTTACCTCAGGGGAAGGTGGCCTAGTGGGTATCTGGCCTTGGGAGGAGGTGACGTGGATGTCAGTCCCACATGGAAGTTTCTGGTAGCTCTAGAGGCAGAGAGGCCCAGAAGACTCAGTGCAGGCGTGGGTAGAAAGTGGAGTGTCCCAAGAATGGAAAGTAAGGTAAGGGCCCAGCTTCCAAATGCCAGAGCTCACCCCTTTGCGGGTGTTGATTCTGAGTCCTCCATCCCAGCCCCAACACAGTAGCTTGTCTGGGATGTGGAGGGGCCTCCCAGCGCTCTGAAAGTCTAGATCAGGCCCCTCTCAGCCCCTCAAGCCCTCCTCCACCATGCATTATCTGCTCCGGCCACAAGGGGTCCCCACTGGGACTGGCTTTGTCATCCTTGACCCTTCTCGTCCTCCGCCTGGTGGCCAGGGGACACCGTGGCATCAGCACGAATCACTGACAGTCCCATTAGCCTTATAGATGTTCCCACCTGCCACATGTGCAGTCCCATAGAAGGCAGTAGGTGCTCTGAGCTGCGGGACACAGTGAAGGGCAGGGATGGGATGTGCCATGGGTGCCAGGTCCATGCTCAGCAGCGTGGGAGAAACAGACAAGGTCTTTGGGCGGCTGGAGCCCAGCCTCCCCCAGATCGGGTCAGATGATAAACACTCTGTGTCCAGCACATGTAGTTTGGCTGTGCCCCCCTCTGGGTGGCTTAGCCTCTGTGAGGCTCCTGCCATCCTGGCCTGGAGTTGAGTGCCCAGGACAGCACAGGAGTCCTGGGCTGCCAATAAGAGTTCTGACTCATGGGTACGAGGCCCTTTCCTCCTCTGAACCCTGGAGGGTTGGTATGAACACGTCGGCCCACTCACAGCACCCCCGTTCCCTCCATCCCAGTCTCTTACCAAGCCCTGCACCCCTGGGAAAGCCTTGGCTGTTCCCATCCCAGGCCCAGCTGGGTCCCCTCTGTCCGCTCCCCACATCTCTGTCCCATCCACATCCCCGGGCCTATGAGGGGAGGATCTGGTCCTCGGGCCCACTAGGGGCCCCACACCATTGTTTGTTGTGTTCGGGCAGCTGGAGTGCCCACACTCACACATACATGCCCTCAGAGTTTGTGGAAAGGACCGCGGCACCAGGCCAGGGCCGGTCCGCCTTCCAGGAGCTCTCGGGCCGGAGCCAGGGCTGGGCGCTGTGGGCGAGCGGGGCAGGAATGGGCAGGGCCTCGTGCTGCTGGTCTCACCCATCCTTCTTCCAAGTCCCTGCTCTCCATTCCTGCACCCCCCAGGCCTGGCCAACAATGCCAACGACTTGGAGAAGCGCAGGCAGATCTACGGGCAGAACTTCATCCCCCCCAAGCAACCTAAGACCTTCCTGCAGCTGGTGTGGGAGGCCCTGCAGGACGTGACCCTCATCATCCTGGAAGTGGCCGCCGTCGTCTCCTTGGGCCTTTCCTTCTATGCGCCGCCGGGAGAGGAGAGCGAAGGTGAGCGGGGAGAGGGGGCCCGACGGGAGGGCAGGGCCGGGACCTGAGCCAAGGGACCAGAGCATGACTCTCCCGGCACCCCATCCTTCCCTGCCGTCCTCTGGCACAGCATGTGGGAACGTGTCAGCCGGGGCGGAAGATGAAGGGGAGGCCGAGGCCGGCTGGATCGAGGGAGCCGCCATCCTGCTGTCGGTCAGCTGCGTGGTGCTGGTCACAGCCTTCAACGACTGGAGCAAGGAGAGGCAGTTCCGGGGCCTGCAGAGCCGCATCGAGCAGGAGCAGCGGTTCTCAGTCATCCGGGATGGCCAGCTGCTGCAGGTCCCCGTGGCCGCCCTGGTGGTGGGGGACATTGCACAGGTCAAGTACGGTGAGTGCCTCCAGGGTGGGCCTTCCCCCGCCCCCCCCACCCCCCACCAAGGAGCACGTGGGCCTTCACCTGTGGGGGTGCAGGGGCTGAGTTCAAGCTGGAGACAGAGCCTCAGAAGGGCAGGACGACGGGGCTGGGTTGGGTGAGTCTTCCCCAGAAAGGAGGAGACTGAGAGAAGCGGGCCCCACACACTGGGTTCGAGACCTCCCCTGGGGCAGGGGGGAGGCAGCAGGGAGGGGGCCGCCTGGATCCACACCCAGCCTGTGGTTCCGGCTGCCCGGCTGGCCCTAGGAGACCTGCTGCCTGCCGACGGCGTGCTCATCCAAGGCAACGACCTCAAGATCGACGAGAGCTCCCTGACCGGCGAGTCGGACCACGTGCGCAAATCAGCGGACAAAGACCCTATGCTGCTCTCAGGTGAGGCCTCCGGGCACCGGCCAGGCTGCCTCCCGGACCAGCTCAGCGCTGCACGGCCTTGGAGGCCACCTGGGCCGGCCACCCCCTCAACTGGGGCCTCCTGAGTAGCCCTTCCGGTCGAAGAGTCTGAAGATTTTGCCCTGTCCCCAAAAGGGGCCAGAGCAGACTGTGGGAGGCATGATGGGGCAGCTCCAGCCACTGGGACAGGAAGGGGGTGCTCCCAGCCCTGAAGAGCCCCTGATCTCCTGACCACAGCCCCCAGAGACGAGGCCTGGCTCTGGGTCAGCACAGTGCTGTGCTCCTCCCCAGCCCAAACACTCAAGAAGAGCCAGTGGGGTTAGCGTTTCCTTTCCAGAAGGTTTGGGCTTAGCCTGGGGTTTATCCCTGTGGCAAATGCAGTGTGAAGCAGGACTGAGAGGGTGGAGGCCCCAGGTGGGCCCTGAGAGGACCTCATCTTAGGCCTCTGGGCAAAGCAGCTGCTCCTGTGGGGCCTCCAGGTCCCCTCTGAGCCAGGGATGAGGCTTCAGCCCAGTCTTAGAGTCAACATAGCCCCCAGGGGCCTCCAAACGCTGAGTCCCTGCTTCTGGGATTCCTGCGAGAGAACCTGTAGGTGTTCAGCATGCCTCCTACCAGCAGAGTAAATCTCTGTCCTGGTTCCCCTGTGTTGCCAGGTACTCATGTCATGGAAGGTTCTGGAAGAATGGTGGTGACTGCCGTTGGTGTGAACTCCCAGACAGGCATCATCTTTACCTTGCTTGGAGCCGGTGGAGAAGAAGAGGAGAAGAAGGATAAGAAAGGTAAGGAAGCGGTGACCTCCAGTTCCCAGTGCCAGCTGTCTCTGCAGCCTGCTCTTTCTTCCTTTATATCTTGCTGGCCTAATCCCCTACTCCAGCTCCAGGGAGAGCCAGCCCTCAGGGGTGGGAGGTAATACCCGCTCTTCTGATTCCTTTTGGGGACCCCTCTCCTGGGGTCATTGCCCCAGAGCCAGCAGGTCGGCAGGCTCCCCAGTTCTGTGTAAAGGCAGCTATTCCCCGAAGGCTTTCGGAAGTGTGTGCCAGGGTGGGGGAAGTGCCCTGGCTGGGCAGGGATGGGGTTGGAGGGACAGGGGCCAGCCACCTTGGCTTGGGAGGGCGCCACCAGTAAGGTGCTAAGGGCCCCCACCAACATGGCAGCCAGGGAAAAGGGGGTCATACAGCCAGAGGTAGAAGGTTCCCAAGCAGAATGGACTGGACTCCCCAGAAGCCTTCCCCAGGACATGGCCATCCTGCTGCCTCCTCTCACCATTGCTATGTGCCCCAGGCATGGCCGTCCTCAGTGCCACTGCCACGCCAGAGTCCCAGTCCCAGAGTCAGGACCCCACCATCTTCTTTGATTAGGACGGGCACCAGCTTACAACTCACCTTGCTCTAACCTCGGTTTCCCCTCAGGCTGCTCCTGCAGTCAAACCAGGTGGGGAGCGGAAGTTTCTAGATGTGTGCCTTGAAGAGAATTCACTCGGGCCCACAAGAAGTACGAAGAACCCGCACATGTGTGGGGAGAGCACATGCTGGAAGCCTGTGGCCACCAGGCCCGCTCAGTCAGTTAGGGCCCCCAGAGCCAGAAAACAGGCAACAAAGGGGCAAGTCAGCAAGGAAGGATGTGCTGGTGTCCCCAGCCCTAGGCTGCCCTGCTCCTGGAGGCAGTGAGAGAGGAGACAGATGACCAGCCATTGCCTAGAAGCTCCCATGGGCCCTGCCCACCTTTGCCACACCAAGCCTCTTCTCCCTGCAGGGCTCAGCCTAGTTGCTGCCCACGGCAGGCAAGCGCGTAGGGCAGTCAGCCCTGGGCCTCTGCTGGGGCTGGGCTGGAGTCCCCACCCTCCGTCCCGGGAAGCCGAGCTCACTGCCTGGGGTCCCTCCATTGACACCGTGATGGCTGGTTGGCAGGGTGCTCCTTCTCCCCTCCTTCATGGGCTCCCCCCCGCCAGCTCTGTCCCTCAAATATTGGTGGTCTTCAGGACTGAGTTCTGGGCCCCTCCTCTCCGACCTTGACAAAACCCCCCAAGGGGCCCCAGGGACCCCAGGGACCCCAGCTCCCGCCCTGGCTCTGGCTCCTCTGCCCCCTCTCCATCAGCTCCCCTAGGCCAAGCACCTTCACCAGCAGGCTTCCTGGAGGAGGGGAACTCTGACGGGGGCCCAGGAGGGAAGCAGAGCTGGCCAGGGTCTGGGAAGGGGCAGCAGCACCCACAATTCCCCATCAAGGTCTCAGTCCAAGGCTTAGCCACTCCAGCGGCCACTCCCAGTGCGTTTCCCTGGCCCGCGCCCTCACCTTCGCTGCCTCTCGACTTTGTCTATCAGCCCAGCGCTCCTGGCCCACCTGCTCCCCTCCGACCGGCTTCTTGCCTTTCGGCCTTGACTCCTAGTCACCCTTCTGCTTGGGATGTCCTACTGCCCCTCCTCCCCTCCCTTGGCTTCTGTCTTCCTCTTCCTATCGTGCTCATCCCACACCCGCTCCCTCCTCTAGAGGCCTCCCTGGGTCCTGTCTGCAGCCTCTGACCTTTCTGTGGGCCCTCACGGCCCCAGAGTTTTCAACAACAACTCCTCACTGCGCTGTATGGTCACCGTGTGTCTACAGGCATCTCCTCTGCCCCCAGAAATCTCCTTCCCTTCGGAACCTCCCCACCCTCACAGAGGGCCCAACCTCCAACGCAGCCCAGCTGGGTGTGGGCAAACTCCCCACCAGCATTCTCCATCTTGGCCTTGGAAGCCACTCACTGCCCCAGTCCCCAGCACCCGGCTGCAGGCTTTGAGGCGGCCACCCTGCCGGTTCACGGACGGCCACCCCCACAGGTCCACCTGGGACCCAGCGCGTCCCACACCCTGTCGCTTCCTCCAGGGCTAGGTGCCCAGCACCCAGGTGCCAGGCGGGCACCTGAAGCTGGCAGGTTTCCAGAGTCTCGCTGCTTTGTCCCTCCAAAGCACTCATAGAGCTAGCCGCTGGGACCCCGAGGTAAAGCGCTTGGGCTGCTTCTTGGGGGCAAGTGCACATCGAAGCTTGGGGGCCCTGCTCAAGGTGGCAGAGCTGGGATGAGACAGCTGGCGGCTCCAGCTCCACGTGGTGGTAGGCTTTCTAGAAGCCTCCCATTGCCGGGTCACACATGGCCCACAGTTTGTCCGGGGCTGGCACAGGGTGGGGGGCGTTCACTGGAGGGCTGGGGCCTCAGTCAGGAAGCCCATTTCCCGAGAGGTGGTGATGGGGCATCAGAGGATAATAGGGGGCCCTGAGCCTTCCTCACTGTGTCCCTGTGCCCCGTCGTCCCGTGTGTGTGTGCCAGGACCACACGGATGTTCTCAAGGCTTCGTGTCTGTTGTTCCTCTTCCGTTGTAGGCAAGCAGCAGGACGGGGCGACGGAGAGTAGCCAGACCAAAGGTAACGCGCGCCCTGCGCGCAGGGTGGGGCGGCGCAGGGTGGGGCCCAGGGTGGGGCCCAGGGTGGGGGGCCGCCCGCTTCACTTCCGGGAGCAGCACCCGGAGAGCAATTGAGTGAGGCCAGAAGCCCACGGGAATTGCCTGCGAGCTGGCTTCCTGGCCAGGCGACTGAGGCTTAGGCCTGTGGGTGTCCCAGTTGAGCCGGACCTTTGAGGCAGGGTGATGGGTGGCCATCTGACGCCCATTTTCCCCTCAGCCTGGTCGACGCTGAGCCTCCGCGATGGGACGGGGGTTGTCCACGGTCAGGCGCAGGTACTGGGGAAGCCAAGGTGGCCGAAGCAAGGTCACAGTTCAGAGACACAGACCCAGGGGCAAGACTCCGGTGCCGTGTGGGACCTGGGGACCCAGAGACCAAGACAGGGTCCGACAAGGAACCTGGAGTTTCAGAGGAGAGCTAAGGTTGGGTCGGGGGGTCAGCCTGACGGCCACGGTCCCAGGCCGGGGTGGAGAGGGGCCGTCGCTGGCCGGGGACCGTGAGGCCGTGGTCTCAGGCAGCCACGGGGAGAAGGCACGGGTGGGAAGACCGGAAGCATTATGGAGCAGCTGACAGCGTGACATGGCGGGAGGCATACGGAGGTGGTGTCAGGAGCACCGAGAGTTCCATTGTGTGGGGACAGGGGTAGTGACAGAGAAGGATGAGTGGTGGGGTTGGGTGCCCCCTCGAGGTGGGGCATGGACAGGCCACCTGCTCCAGACCGAAAGTGGAGAGGCAGCTAGAGGAGAGTAGCAAAGGCTCCGTGAGGAGAGAACAGGGGTCGTGTATGGTGAGCGGGGGTCCTGACGGAAGTCAATGTGCCCGCTCAAGAGGCTGCTGGGAGAACAGACACCAGTGAGCTAGTGGGTCAGCTCAAGGTTCTGGAACGTTCCCAGGGCCCCAGGCCTCTGCTGTCAGGTATCAAGATTTGGGGCCTTATGGGACCGGCCACCCTGTCTGTGTGCCCAAGTTGCTCGTGCTTGTGTCTGTCTTCTTTCCCCTGGGAGGCCCCCGGAGAACCACATCTGCCCCAGCAAGGACAGCGCCGGAGCCTCCCACCCCGGTCAGGAGGGCCTGGGCTGCTGGCGACAGGAGGGAGAGGAGAGAGCCCCTGGGCTATGTCACACTCAGAAAACAGAGAACCCCCCCTCCAGCCCTGTTTCCTCTCAGGGAGCGCAGCTTTCCTTTGTCGCTGCCCACCCCCCCTGCCCTAACTTCGGCTGTGGGCTTCCTCCGTGTGCAGCTAAGAAGCAGGATGGGGCGGTTGCCATGGAAATGCAGCCCCTGAAGAGCGCGGAGGGCGGGGAGATGGAGGAACGGGAGAAGAAGAAAGCCAGCGTGCCCAAGAAGGAGAAGTCGGTCCTGCAGGGCAAGCTCACCAAGCTGGCCGTGCAGATCGGGAAAGCAGGTGCGGCCGCCATGGGGTGCGAGCGAGGCGGGGCCGCAGAGAGCAAGCGGGAGTGGGAAAGGGCTGTTATGGGTCCTGTGGGCCAGGCCATCGGGGGACCCGCCAGGGCCAGCCGTGGCCATCAGGGTCTACAGCAGCCCCCAGTCAGAGAGCGTGGGTTCCAGACCTCCGCATGGCTGGGCCATGGGAGGGGTGCGTCAGCCGGAGCTGACGGCCTCCCTTACACCTCTCTCGCTCTTGCTCTCTCCCTCCCTCACCCCGCTCACTCCCCATCCCAACCCCACCCCCTGTGGCCCCTGTGGCCCCTGCGCCTCCGCCCCCGCAGGACTGGTGATGTCCGCCATCACTGTCATCATCCTGGTCCTCTACTTCGTGATTGAGACCTTCGTCGTGGACGGCCGGGCGTGGCTGGCCGAGTGCACGCCCGTCTACGTGCAGTACTTCGTGAAGTTTTTCATTATCGGTGTCACGGTGCTGGTTGTGGCCGTCCCGGAGGGCCTGCCTCTGGCTGTCACCATCTCCTTAGCTTACTCCGTCAAGGTAATAAAAATAAACGCAATTGCAATGAGAACCCGCTGATGCCCGGATACAGACCCAGAAAGCAGACTTGGAAGCCATTCAGCAGCTTGGCGTGACATGGACTGGAGAAAGTTTGGGATCAGTCAGGGGAAGGGGAGGTGCGGTGGGACAGACCTGACATCAGTGGGACGAGGGCAGGAACTTGAGGGTGCAGAAGTGGGTGATCAGGAGAGGGCTGAGGACACTGGGAGACAGTGGGTGGAAGATAGTACAGACTGGGGATGATCTGAGAGGGTTAGGTTAAGGTTAAGGTTAGGTTAGGTTAAGCTACAGGTAGAGGGTTTGTCCCGGGCAGCAGGGAGGCCCCACTTGCGCTCTGGGGAGAGTGGCCTCCCAGTGTTGACTGCTTGGGCTATCTGATGAGAGTCCTCCCAGCCTGCAGCCAGTCCAAGCTATGTCTTTAGGCACTGCTGTCAGCCCACCAGCTCATCACCAGCCATCTGAGCCCCCCGCCCCCGGCTGTCAGTGCCACGCAGAAAGCCAGCGGGGCAGAACAGAGTCACACATGACATGCTGACGACCTCTTGCTCCCCTATCCTGTGGGCCAACCTTTCCGAGGCCAGCTGGCTACCCAAGCTCCTATCTGTGCCCTTCACAGAAAATGATGAGGGACAACAACCTGGTCCGCCACCTGGATGCCTGTGAGACCATGGGCAATGCCACTGCCATCTGCTCAGACAAGACGGGCACACTCACCACCAACCGTATGACCGTGGTCCAGTCCTACCTCGGGGACACCCACTACAAAGAAGTTCCAGCCCCCAGTACCCTGACCCCCAAGATCCTTGACCTGCTGGTCCACGCCATCTCCATCAACAGTGCCTACACCACCAAAATACTAGTGAGCAGAGAGCGAGCAGCCGGCTGGGCCAAGCTGGGGTGGGATGGAGGAAGGGGCCAGGCCCGAAATTGCAGCAGGAGCTGTCCCCAGAGCCTCCCTCGGCTCTCCTGAGAACCTGTGGCAGAGCTACAGTGGTCTCTGGGATGTTGACTCCTGTGCTGGCTGCTGGGCGAAACATGCAGCATCTAGAAACCCCTTCCAAGCCCAGTGCATGGTGGGAAGCCTGCCCATCTAGTCCCCATGGAAGCCGTCCTCAGCTCCCTGGAGACAAGGTGGCTGCAGCCAGACCGGGGCGGGGGGGGCCTAGGGTACCCCGGTCTGGGGTAGACTCGGGCCCTGTTGTGCCATGCAGCTACTCCTTGCCTCGTAGCCTCCAGAGAAAGAAGGTGCCCTCCCACGCCAAGTGGGCAACAAGACGGAGTGTGCTCTGCTGGGTTTTGTCCTGGACCTGAAGCGGGACTTCCAGCCTGTGCGGGAGCAGATTCCAGAAGATAAGCTTTACAAAGTCTACACCTTCAACTCCGTGCGCAAGTCCATGAGCACAGTCATCCGCACGCCCGACGGCGGCTTCCGCCTCTTCAGCAAGGGCGCCTCGGAGATCCTGCTGAAAAAGTGAGCGGGCGCCGAGGGCCAGTCTAGGGCCGGGCACCCCGCGGGCTGGTGGCCAGCCCCACGATGCGGGCTGCCGGGGTCACTATCACGGTAAAGTAGACGGAACGTCACATGGGCCGCTTTAATGGCTTTAAAATGTACAGAATATATTCCCAGAGTCGTGCACTGTCATGGCGCTTGCAGGATGTTCCCATCACTCCCCCAAAGGAAACCCTGTCCCTGTTAAACAGCCACTCCCACGTCCCCTCCCCAGCCCCTGACAGCCCCTCATCTCCTTTCTCCGTGGATATGCCCGTCGTGGACACTCGCTACCATGAACAGGGGTGGACATGTTTTTGTATGAATATATGTTTTCAGGGCTCATGGGCCTATTCCCAGGACTAGAAGCGCTGGGTCCTGTGGGAACAGAGTTTTACCTTCTCAGGAGCCACCAACATGTATTATTCTCTGTTGATAATTACGATCACTATTATCGATATGATGATCGTTATTACAGCCATCCCAGTGGATGCGAACTTGGGTCTCCCGGTGCTTGTGTCTGCACTTCCCTGACGACCGGTGATATTGGCACCTTTCCATGCCCTCACTGGCCGTTTGGAGAAAAAGCTATTCCTCTGCTCATCTTTATTGTTTCGTTGTTTTGGGGTTTTTTATGCTGAGGTGCAAGAGCTCTCGATTATGCCGGACACTCGGTCTGTAACACACCTGGTTTGTAAATATCCACTCTCACCCCGGGGGCTGTCTTTTCACTTTGCCAATTGGATTTTTTTTTCTTTTTACCCTCTTGATTCATCCCCACATTCACCAGTGTCTTCCAGCGATGAAGTTCAGTTTATCTCTTTATTTCTTGTGTCGCTTGTATAGGGTTTCTGTTAGAGGTAATGAAAATGTTCTAAAATTGGCCGTGGTGACGGTGGCACAGCTCTGTGACTTATATCCCAATAAAGCCTCCAAGTACCCCACCCCCCAAGTCCACCCTTCCTGCCGAGTCACCTGCTAAGACTCAAATGTTCTCCCTCAAAAGTCTGCCCAGGCACAGACTCCTCAAGGGCAAAGGCCACCTCCTCCCTGAAGCCATCCATCCACATCCCAGCTGGATCAGGAGGCCTCAACCTTCTTTCCGTGCTTCCCTTCTTCTCGGGCTAAAAGCCTGGTTTCTGTAGTTGGGCCCTGGCTCTGCTCTTTGCTGGCATGTGAACGTCAAGTCACTCCCCTGCCAGAGCCTCCGTTCCCTCCTACACGGACACAACACGAATACTTCCCTCTCTCCTGGGAATGTTGTGAGACTTCCATGAGTGAATCTGCAAAAAGGCGCTCTCCTCGCCTACCCAAGTCTGTGAGTTTCCAGTTCCTGGGGCTCCCGGGACCAAGGACCACAAACCTGACAGCTTAAAAACAGAGAAACCTGTTTTATTTTCTTTGTTTTTTTTAAAGATTTTATTTATTTATTTGACAGAGAGAGACACAGTGAGAGAAGGAACACAACTTCCCGGAGTAGCCTCCCTGCCACACAGGATGGAGGACTCAGACTCTCAGTTGGTCCAGCTCCCCTTGCCTCACTCACACCAACTCGCATTGCTGTGTCCCCACCCCAGGTGCACCAACATCTTAAACGGCAATGGTGAGTTACGCGGCTTTCGCCCTCGGGACCGGGACGACATGGTGAAGAAGATCATCGAGCCCATGGCTTGCGACGGCCTCCGCACCATATGTATTGCCTACCGGGACTTCTCTGCTGCTCAGGAGCCCGACTGGGACAATGAAAACGAGGTTGTGGGCGACCTTACCTGCATAGCCGTCGTGGGCATCGAGGACCCCGTGCGGCCCGAGGTAGCCACCCACTCGTTCAAGAGCAGCCCAGGTTGTTGGACGGGTGGAGGGGCAGCCCTTCTTCCCGTCAGGCCTCCACAGCATGGCCCCGTTCTCCTGCCTTCCCTGCTACACACTACTTCCTGCTGGAGTCCAGAAAGGTCAGGAAAGGTGGGCCAGGGCAGGGCCTCGGGGTCCTCCAGATCAGACATCCCCGGCACACGTGATCTCCCTCACCGTCGCGCCCTTGCCCCCATCCGGGGCCTCTAGGCCTGTCTCATGCTCTGCCTCCAGCAGGTGAGAGACGGCGCCAGTAGAACCTCGACGGCTGTGACCCCCGCAGGACTGATGGACTGGAGGGAGTGGTGAGGGAGAGGGAAGAGTCAGGCACCACTCCCAGGGCTCTGGTTCAGAGACGCGGGTGGATGGCTGACCCATCACTGGGCTGGGAGTCCGAGGGGACACAGGTTTGAGGGGCAGGGGCAGTCCTCGGTCAAGGATTTGGTTGGGGCCAAGTGAGGCTCAGGACCTCCCCATGGAGACGTCAAGTAGGAGTGGAGTGCTCAAAGCGGAAGGAAGGTCCTGGCAGGAGAGAGATTCCAGAAGCATCCTTATGTGAGGGCACAGCTAGGACAGATGGAGGCAGGAGCCTTCAAAGGGACATGGAGGAAGGGTCTAGGCCGGAAGCTGACCTGTGTAGATGTCTTTACCAAGAGCTCTTCTGCAGAGGGAACGGAGAAACCGGGCAGCAGCTGAACAGGCCGTAGAGCAAAGGAACAGTGGGGAGGCCTGTTGCTCCATAAAGATGGGAGATCCCCGGAGTGGATCTTCCCACAGGAAGAGGGTGAGGCAGGGAGGGGCCGCCCTGATCCCACTGATTAGCCTGGAAACATGAATGTGCATGAGCCACCCTTAGGGCTGCTGACGACAGCAAGGAGAAGCTTCTGGGCCCTCCTTCCAGAGACGGTCTGCATTCACACACTGGCTCAAGTACCAAAGACCGTCGATTCAAAAGTCAGTGCTTGCTACATCCGGACGGTGGCTGTGGGCCGTCGGTGATGGTGCACCCCTGTGTTCCGAGGAGACTGGAAGCCTGCCTGGGAGGAAGCAGCAGCCGGAGGGACAGGTCTAGCTAAGGGGGACAGCGTGGCGAGCAGCCTAGGAGAACACTGGGACAGGAAGAAACTGAGGCACAGAGGAGGAGGCCTGCGTCCGCACAATGAAGCGGAGTTGCAGAGCCGCGTTGCCCTTCGCCGACCTGGCGGCCTTTCCCTTCTGAACAGAGCTGCTCGCCACCGCCCCCCCACACCCCTGCATGGCTGCAGGCCCCTGGCTGGCGTTCGGTGCTGCTCCTAGGGGGCTGGGTGTCAGAATGTGCCACAGACCCCAGAGGCCAGCGTTCCCATACTCCCAGGACCCTGACCACCACCCCCAGCCGGCCCCCCTCCACTTGCTCCATGTCCACTAACGAGTAGGGACAGTACCGTATCCTGTGAGACCTATGGCTCTAAGCGTCTCGGGGTTTATATTGGGCGAAGGAGGAGGGTGGAAGGGGGACAAGTGAGAGGGGCCCAGAGTGTGGCCACGAGCCAGCTGATAGCCAGGAGCCTGCCCCAAGTCAGGATCCCAAAGGGACAGGCCTGCCATCAGCTTTGCCATCTGGCAGGGTATCTGGGGACACAGGTTCCTTTCTCATTCTTCCAGAGCTGACAGGGCTCAGCAGCCCTGGGTCTCCATTTCACATGACTCCAAAGGCGCCCCTTACTGGAGGTATTGGGGCCTGGGTCCCAGTCGTTGCTGGTCCTGGGGCCCAGCCCAATGGAGGGGGCACCCAGGGGTAGGGAGGGGTGCTGAGAGAAGGAAGGAGGCGCTCGGCCCAGTGTGGACCAGGCAGGAGAGCAGACAAACCCCCTTTCCCCACAGGTCCCCTTCAGAGGGAGCATGGTTGGGTGAGGGCGCTGCACATCTGGATGGAGAAGGGACAGCCTAGACACAGGTGTGTCTTGTTACAACGGCCACACCCACCTCTCTTGTCTCTTCCAGGTCCCCGAAGCTATCCGCAAATGCCAGCGCGCTGGCATTACAGTCCGCATGGTGACCGGGGACAACATCAACACAGCCCGGGCCATTGCGGCCAAGTGCGGCATCATCCAGCCTGGGGAGGACTTCCTGTGCCTGGAGGGGAAGGAGTTCAACCGGCGCATCCGCAACGAGAAGGGCGAGGTAGTTCCCAGCCCTGCTGCCCTCCCCACTCGGTCCCGGGTTCTGGCGATCTCTCCCCCCACCTCTGCTCAGCACCCCCAATCCAGGCGTTGCAACATCTATGTGCTTCCCTCTCCCAGATAGAACAGGAGCGTCTGGACAAGGTGTGGCCCAAGCTGAGGGTCCTCGCCCGATCATCTCCCACCGACAAGCATACTCTGGTCAAAGGTAATGGAGCTTGCCCACGCTGGCCCGCCGCTGCCCCTTCCCCCACACGGGGTGCCATGCCCCTGGCTGGCTGTGGTCGGCCCCCAGACTCCCAACGCCCAGCTCCAGGGCCTGCCTAGGAAGTGGGGTCCCGGGCTATGGACGTGCCGAACCTCAGTCTCCCCGTCAGGGAAGTGGGGCTAATGACGGCTGACATACCAGGGCCCACCCCTTGGCTTCTCTGGGCTAACAGCATGAGTGGAAGATGCCAGTAGAGGATGGCCTCTCGTTGTAACAGATGGGGAAACTGAGGCCTAGGAAAGGGAGACAATTCTCCAAGCCACAGAGGGCTGAGCCCCTGTCCTCCACCCAGTCCCACCCCCGGGTATCATTTCGCTAGGTGGTGGGCCAGGGTGGGATGGAGGGGAGCAGGACTGCTGCTCAAGGCCCAGGGAGTTCACCATGAAGGCGGCCAAAGCACGGAGGACTGGGGGCACTTGGCCCAGTCACAGTCTTGAAGGGTTTCCCGAGTCAACCAGGAATCAACCAGCATTGGTTGACTGGTTCCAGCCCCCAGGCAGAAACCCAGGGCACAGACGCCCCGCTCTGCATTCCAGGGATCATCGACAGCAACACTGGCGAGCAGCGGCAGGTGGTGGCCGTGACAGGGGATGGCACCAATGATGGGCCAGCCCTCAAAAAGGCAGACGTGGGCTTTGCCATGGTAAGCCACCCAGCACCGACCTGGCTTAGCACACCAGGTAGGGCCTCGTGTCTCTCTGTAAATCCCAGCCCTGCTGCTCAGGTGGCCATCCCCGGCCCCAGAGTCTTCTACAGCGAGCTGTGCGGAAATCCAGTGGCCCCTTTCCCCACCACTAAAGAGTACTTGTGCTCTGCCACACTGACGGTAGCCCGTGGACAGGCGCTAGGGGCCCAGGCCAGTCCTTCCCAGAGTCTGGGGCCCAGAAGGTGACCAAACTGCCACCCACTGGCACCCTGAGCCCCGAGCTGGGTTGCCAAAGGCGCCCCCGCCCAGGCCTCCCGGAGCTCCTTCTGTAGCAGACTGACCCTGGACAGAAGCCTGGTCAGTGACCATGCGGTGGCGGCCAGGCCTTGAATGTGAGGCCACATTGGTGGCCCTGGTGGCAGCTCCCCTCTTTGCTTATCAGCAAAGCCCCTTCCCTCGCCCTGAGACGACCTGCCGCTTGGAGTGGGAAGTCCGGCCGGATGTAATAAGATCTGTTTCTAGCTGGTGGCGAGCCTTGTTTGGAAGCCAAGTCGGGCAGCAGGCCCCGGTGGGTTGAGTGGTCACGGCGGCTGGGGAAGGGGCCCACGGACACTGTGTGTGTGACCCCCCCCCAGGGCATCGCAGGGACTGACGTGGCCAAGGAGGCCTCAGACATCATCCTGACCGATGACAACTTCACCAGCATCGTCAAGGCCGTCATGTGGGGCCGCAACGTCTATGACAGCATCTCCAAATTCCTGCAGTTCCAGCTGACCGTCAACGTGGTGGCCGTGATTGTGGCCTTCACGGGTGCCTGCATTACTCAGGTGGGCACTGGGGGCCGCTGTGCCCAAGGAAGACCCTGGGCTCTCCCTCCCGCAAGCTCTCCCTCCCTCCTTCCCGGACCCCTCCTGCCTTGTGCACTTGGAGCCCGGCATGGAGATCGAGCCCGGGAGACCCCAGGCCGATGAGTGCCCGCCAGGGGGCTTGCTGCGAGAGCCAGGCCTTTCCTTTGTGGCGCGCTTTTTTTTTTTTTTTTCTGTAATTGAAATAAAAATCACATACCAAAAACTTCACCATTTGAGAGTAGACACACTTCGGTCGCATTTCATACATTCACCGTGGGTCCTGAACATTTTCATCGCCCCTGAGAAGACCCCATCCCCAGTAGCAGTCACTCCCCTTCCCCCAGTCCCAGGCCCCCATGGAACTACTATCTCACTTTACAGACTTGCCCATTCTGGAACATTCCATTCAGATGGAATCAAATAACATGTGGTCTTTTGTGTCTGGCACCTCTCACTCAGCATCGTGTTCTTAAGGTCCATCCATGGCACAGCACGGAGCGGCACTTTGTTCCTTTCGATGGCAGAATAAAGCGCCATTGTTTGGAGAGAGCGTGTTTCATTTGTCCCTTCCTCCATCAGTGGGCATTCGGGTCATTTCCACCTTTTGGTGACTATGAATAACGTTGTCATGAACATGCGTGTACAGGGCTTTGTGTGGACCTTTCGCTTCTCCCAGAGGGCGAGTGCTGCTCCCACGGGAACACCGTGTTTGAACCCTTGGAGGAGCCTCTTCCCCGTTTTCTCTCTCTCTCTTTTTTTTAAAGATTTTATTTATTTGACAGAGAGACTCAGCGAGAGAGGAAACATAAGCAGGGGGAGTGGGAGAGGGAGAAGCAGGCTCCCCGCCAAGCAGGGAGCCCGATGCAGGGCTCGATCCCAGGACCCCAGGATCATGACCCAAGCCGCAGGCAGACGCTTAACGATGGAGCCACCCAGGTGCCCCTCTTTCCTGTGTTCCACAGTCCAATTCTCCCCATTAGTGAGTGTCCGGAATTTGTCTCCCTTTGAAAGGTTCTTTTAATGGAGATAAAATTCACATCACATACCGGGCGCTGTAACGGCCATTTGGAAGTACGTGGTTCAGTGACACTTGTTGCATCGGCAGTGTCGTGCCCACCAAAGCTGATACGCCCTCTTCTTTCCCCCAGCTCCTGACATCCACTCACCTACTCTCTGGCTCTGTGGATCTGTCACTTCTGGAAGTTTCGTAGGAATGGAATCACAGGCTTATTTCTAACCGACTCGGAGGTGATGAGAAGAAAGGTGCAGGGCATAGCCCCTGGGTGTAGGAGCTCAGGAGAGCACCCATCGCAGTCTGGGGCAACACACGGGCTTGTGAACATCCCGCTGATGGCCGGGAGCCCACCTCTTGGGTCACTGCTACCAGGTGGGAGAAAGGAGACTGGCCACATTTTAAGAGCAGGAATCAGAAAACGTGTTATGAACCGTAACAACAGGGATGGGGCTGTCACAGTTTTCTGGGAAGGTCGTGCCAGTGACGCGGCCCCCAGGCTGAGTGTCTGCCCCAGGATCCATGGGTCCACGTGAGGGTGACTGCCTCCTCTCCACAGGACTCTCCTCTCAAAGCCGTGCAGATGCTATGGGTGAACTTGATCATGGACACGTTTGCCTCTCTGGCCCTGGCGACGGAGCCGCCCACCGAGGCGCTGCTGCTGCGGAAACCGTATGGCCGGGACAAGCCCCTGATCTCGCGCACCATGATGAAGAACATCCTGGGCCACGCGGTGTACCAGCTCGCCATCATCTTCACGCTGCTGTTCGTCGGTAAGTCCGCCCCCGGGCGTCGCGTCTAGTGGTGCAAGGGGCGGATGATCACCAGGAACCCAGGTCCCCGTGAGGACCCCTCCCTGCCATCACTCTCTGCGTGCGCCCCGGCGAAGGGTCACAGGCCCCCCGAGCCTCTGAGAAACTGTCCACGGCTCCATAGAGCAGACAGCGTGTCTCAGCCTTCACCCATCCCTCCACGCATCCAACGACCACTTCTCCAGGGGACAATGACAAGAATGCTGTGCTGGAAGCTGTGGGAAGAGGAGGATCAGGAGAAAAGAGAGGTGGCGGGAGATGGAGGGAAGAGGAAGGATAGGAGAGAGAGCGGCAGCAGGAGGTGAAGCAGAGGAAGGAAGACAGAGAAGAGGAAGGAGAGGCCGGAGCAAAGGAGAGAGAAGGACGAGAGGAGGACTAAAGAAAGGGAGGAGGAGGGAGACCCAAGGGGGAGGATGGATGGGGACAAGGAGGAGGAGGAAGCTGAAGGGGGATACAGGAAGGGAGGTGAAGACGGAGAGAGGAGAAGGGAGGAGGACTGAGGGTCAGGAAGCAAGAAGGGGGCAAGGGCAGGAAGAGAAGGCCGTCCGGGGAGTCCGGGGAAGCCCAGGGCGTCACCAATGGCAGCTCTGCTGCTGCTGCTGTATCTGGCAGTTTCCCTCTTTCGCACCAGGGCGGGGTCTGTTGGTCTGTCTGTTCGTGGTCCCTCTCCCTTATGTCAGGGCACTCCGGTGAGCTACCAGGGCCGCCCTCCAGGACAGTGCTTGCTGAGGGACAGGAGTCACAGTGGGTCAGGACTGCAAATGTCTGGGTCAGGGGTGGGGAAAATGTTCCTGTCAGCGGGCTGTTCTCTGATTTCTTGGGAACAGAAGCCTCTTGTGCCCTGCCTGAGGGCCTCCGCCTGGCTGCCCAGGCTTAGGGACGGGGCCGAGGAGGGCCAGCCCACAGCCTCGGATGCCTCCCCAGCCCACGCCCACCTCAAGTGGGCATGCACGGTTTGTCTTGGCGTTTTCGTTCTGCCCTGCGCTTTCTGCAGCAGAGCCATGGGCCAGGCCTGGGCTGCGAGCTCGTGCTGCAGGGTGAGAGTCCGTACTTTCCCTTCTTCGGCCGTCTCATGCCCGGCACAGAGGCACCCGCCCCAGCATCCCTCAGGTGGCACCGGCTGGAAGCCGTGTCTGCTCGGGGCTCAGCTCCCGCCATGTACCCATTGGCTTGCAGGGGAGCTCTTCTTTGACATCGACAGCGGGAGGAACGCACCCCTGCACTCGCCGCCCTCGGAGCACTACACCATCATCTTCAACACCTTCGTCATGATGCAACTCTTCAACGAGATCAACGCCCGAAAGATCCACGGCGAGCGGAACGTCTTTCACGGCATCTTCAGCAACCCCATCTTCTGCACCATTGTCCTCGGCACCTTTGCAATTCAGGTAGGAGGAGCGACCCTACTCTTACAGCAGATGGGAGAGCAGGGGACCGTACCCCGCCCCAGCCAGCGGCCTGCCGGTCCCGCTCAGAGGCGCCTCTGCCCCTCCTGCTTTCCCAGCCCCTGCTGGCATTGCCTGTGACCCCATATCCTCTGTCCCCACTTTCAAAACTTTTCAAAACCCGCCAGGTTCCAGAGAGCCTCAGTGGGCCTTACTCAGAACAAACGAGACTCCTTGTAGTACCCTCTGAGTCTGCCACTCCTGTTTCCAGCATCTGATTCCTTGGTGGGAGGCCACCAGAACTCCAGAAGTTTCCTTTGGACATGCTTTCTCTCCCCGGTGCCGACAAACCGGCCTCGGCCTGCCGCTGTGCTGTGGACAGGCTAGACAGCCAACCCTTCGGGAGAAGCCGAGCATTCAAAAACAGGGGGGCATTAATAGAAAACATGAGGTCTAGTGATGGCAACAGGCCAGGATAGTTGCCCCTCACAGCGCTCTGCCGTGCCATGGCGGGGTCCACCCAGGGGAGCCCCGGGTCAGTCAGGAGACAGAGGGGGAGCTGGGAGCCTTTACTGTGGTTTCTAGGGGAGAAACTTAGGTGGGGGTGAGGATGAGTAATTTCTGGAGGACACCTGGGTTTCACGTGGTCTGGGTCCTGGCCCTGAGCAATTAAAGCAGGAGCAGTGGCCTGGGAAGAAGAGCACACACGGGGGTGCTTGGAGCGTGGGCTCTGGACTGGTTGGTCTGTATTGACGAAACTCATCCCAGGGAGGGAGGTTCTTCCCCAGGAAGGCGCAACAAGGCAGCAGGAGGCCCAGGCAAGGCCAACTGGGCAGATGTTAAAGCCTCAAGTTTCTAGAAGCTGGAAATGTGGTCCCTGAGGGCTGGAGGAGGGGCCTCCATAGCTATGCCCAGCTGGGGCCCACAGCTGGACCTGCCTCCCTCCCATCCCACCCCTGCAGATTGTCATCGTCCAGTTCGGCGGAAAGCCCTTCAGCTGCTCCCCCCTGTCCATGGAGCAGTGGCTCTGGTGCCTGTTCGTTGGTGTCGGGGAGCTGGTCTGGGGACAGGTGAGTATCTGCCTTGTCCTCCTTTCCCAGCCCCAACCGTTACCTGTGTCCACCACAGCACCAGTGGCGGCCATGATGTGGGGGTTCGGGGAAAATGAAGACAGGCTTTGAGATTGGAAAGCAAGAGTCAGACACCTCAAGGCCTTGGCTTTTTCTTTGCCGCTTGGAGGATGCAGCTGGGTGTTGCTTACTTCCAGCTGTATGGGCCTCAGGGCTCACGGCAGCCAAAGATTGCGTTAGGAAGAGACAGCCCCGGCCACAGGCACACGAGAGGCTTCCAAGGGCTCTAGAGCCAGAGGTCAAGCCCATGACCCACTTCGCCCTATGTCTCCGTCACTTCGGACACAACAAAACAGCACAGACAGGGCTCAAACAGCTGTGGAGGCTGGAAGTCCAAGATCAAGCCTATGCAGGGCCGGGCCTGGAGAGACCAGGCAGGAGCTCCTGGGCCCCTGGCCGGCAGGGGCGTGGGCCGGGCCATTTCTCCCACGGCCGGGGGTGACAGCCCGCCCCGGGCCCCGGGCCCCGCCACCAGGGAAGCCTCCCTGAACTGTGCTGTCGGGGGACTTGAGCGCGGGGTCGGTCCCATCAGCCTGGAGCTCCTGCGGGGCTGACCTCGGTCTCCACACACCCCCGTCCCCCTGGACACGAAGCTGAAAGTGTGGCCCAGCTCAGCCCCAGGGAGACTCTGGGAGCCTCTGGAGAACAGCATTTGGCCCCAGGCAAAGCTGGTCCAGGCACGCAGCCTCGGGGAGCAAAAAAAGGACGTGTGTGTGCGCACGCGTGCGCGCGTGTGTGTGCGTGTGTCCCCACCTAGGTCTGCCTGCAGGGAAGAGACATTGAAGAAGCCATGCAGCATAGACACTGGCCTCAATCTCTGTCACGAGGAGGTGGGCGATTTGGGTCCCTTGCCGGCCCCAGCAGAGCTCCCACAGTGAAGGGACCAGCCCTGCTCTGACAGCCTCCTGTCTCTGCTGTCCCTCACCTCTTGTCCCCCAGGTCATCGCCACCATCCCCACCAGCCAGCTCAAGTGCCTGAAGGAAGCAGGGCACGGGCCTGGGAAGGATGAGATGACTGACGAGGAGCTGGCCGAAGGGGAGGAAGAGATCGACCACGCTGAGCGGGAGCTCCGCCGAGGCCAGATCCTCTGGTTCCGCGGCCTCAATCGAATTCAGACGCAGGTAAGCCGCCGCACCACTCGGAGGCTCTGCCTTTCCCACCTTGAGAGGGCGGCAAGCAAGCTAGAGGCACAGAGTGGGTGAGACGAGCCCCCTACCGGCAGGGAAACCCTTAGGTCTTGCTGCCACAGGGACAAGGGCCATCCCCAGGTGCGCCTGCTGGTGGGCATGGGGCTGTGACGGCCTGTCTCTGCCACCTCCCTCAGAGCCCAGGGAACCCTCCCTGTGCTGGGGACAGGCGTCAGCTAAAGGTGTGTGCTGTGACCAGTTGCTGCTTCTTAGAGGGCACTACGCACTGTCTGCGTAGCTGTGGGCCTTGCCTGGTTTGCTGGGAACAGCCCGGCCACAGGGAGGTGACGTTCTTGGGAAGACACAGCTGCCGGTTACAAAAAGTCTTTGGTGAGCTCCCCATCGCGGGCTCATTGTGAACGCCATGCGAGCAGACCCCGGCCACAGACTGGGGTCTTTCTGTGCATCTCAGTGATCACGCATCAGAACTGGTGCAGCCCAAGGCCTCGGTAAAGTCAGACGGTCACAAGGACCACTCGGCCATGGGCAAACTCCAAGGCTTCACGAGCAAACCCTTCCCGGCTAGCTTCTTGCCAGAATGTTCTGTCCTCGCTGGCTTTTTACATCCTTTGCACACACTCACTGGTGATCCCACCACAGCCTGGCCTCTGCCCTCAGCGTCCCAGAGGCAGTGATGGCCAAGGCCTACAAGACCTGCTCCTAGCTCCCTCATGCGGACCATCCCTCCGTCCTGCATCAATTCCCGGCGCCCTTCCCTAAGTGCAGCCCTGCTCTCTCTGGTGCCTTGCTGTCCCCTCCGTCCCCCTGTCTGCTCCTCAGCCTCGCATGCCGAAAACCCCACAGACCCTGGGCCACTGGACCACATAGGGAAGGAAGGAAGAGCCCCACTGTCTCTGCCTCCCGAGCCCCCAGGGACATCTGTCACTCTCTGCCACTTCCATGCCTCCCAAAGCCCCACCTCCGATCTTTCTCCGTGTTCCGTCCAAGACCCCCAACCCCATGCCCCAGACCTAGTCGCAACTGCTTTTCCTCCCCGGGAGTCCCACCAGTGCAAAGAACAGCCCGTGCACTTAGCCCCGCGCCCCCCCCGCCCCAGATTCCTGCAGGGGGCTGCTGGGCCTGGGACGTGACCTGAGAGCACATCTCTCTCCAGATTTGCCTCCAGCCCAGCACACAGGCTCATCGCAGAGAACCTTTTACACAATTCGCCCGAAGTGCCGGTGCCTACCCTGCCCGGGGTCTGACGCCCCAGTTGTTGCTGTACCATCCCCGGAAGCCTCATGGAGCTCAGGCTCAGCACCCCCCGCCACTTCTTTCCTCCCCAGGGCCCAGCCTCAGCTCCCACCACACGCTCTCAGCCTCCCACCTGCTTCTCCAGCCTCTGTTCTGCTCGCCCCTCCAATGACCCCATCCACACCATGGCCCCTGTATCCTCTCTTCGTGTCTTAAGGGTCAAGTCCAGAATCCTGACCGTGGCCTTCAAGCCCTTGCCTCTTAGCTTCATCCCACCCTCCCTGTGGCCCTCTCACCCCTGCTGCTTTTCCAGATGCGCATTCGCTCTGCCTCTGTGCTGGTCACCCATCGGCCTGGGGCTCCCAGCTCTCCCTGTGTTCCTTTGGGGTGTCTCCTCCTCCCGCAGCACGACCTCGTGAAGCCTTCTCAGAGTCCACTCCCTCCCGCCCCCGTAGGCCCCACGCAGCCATCAGGGCTCTCAGCCCAGGGTACTGGAGTCAAGGAGGAGCCGAGTCCCCCGGGGAACTTTCCAAAGCTGCAGTGTCCTGGGTTGCTCCTAGTGCTTTGGGATACAGTAGGGGCAGGTCCATGTTGAAGGGGCTTCTCGCCAGCTCTCGGGCTCATCCCTCTTCGCGTCCTGAGCCCCTAGGCCAGCGTGGCCAGGGAAGACTGTCTCAGGTCCGAATGGAACCCTGAGTGCCCAGGGGAGGGGCAGGAATAACTTCGTAGCCAGATGTCCAGGTGTCCCCTCACTGCCTCACACCCAACTGTGAGTCCCTGCCCACGCCATCCTGGCCCCATGGGCTCTTGTCTGTCACGCTCCGGTCCAGCTGCGGAGCGGAGAGCCAGCCTGAGATAGCTGGAGCAGGGTGTGGAGCAGCACCGCCCAAGATGGTGGTCGCTTTTCCAGCAGCTGAGATAGCAGCCCTGCCCAGGGTGAGGCAGCTGGGGGTGGGTCGGCGGGGGCTGGCCAGCTGTGTGTCAGTGTCTTCCGTGTGCCTGGGGGCTCTCCGGCTGCCTGGCTAGTGGAGCAGGTCTCCTCACTCAGTCTTGGAGTTCCAGGCCTTTCTGATTATCACCGCCCATATAGACACTGGCTAGTCAGATCACTACTTTGTACACGATGAAGTGGGGCCCAGAGAAACGGGGCCTCACCCCAGCTCACCCAGTGAGCGTCTCTGTCCACTGATCCAGTAGCATAAATTCATGCTCCTCAAGAACGCTGAACCAATTAGCTACTTTTGCTAATTTAAGAGCATCTGTTCTTTTTGATTCAAAATACCTGCTTGAAAAACAGAAATAAAGTCCCCCAGCTTGTATGTGTACCCCAAGCCAAGGGAGTTGCCCTAGATTTCTGGATTTTGCGAACAACAGAGTCACTCCCCAGACTGCGGAGGCCAGCACGGCTTTTCATTTTGCTAAGTGAAGGCATTCTGTAGAGCCTACTACCTGCTGTCACCATCCTTTCATACTAACATAGCAATACGCCAAAGAGTTGGGGGGGCATTCCCAAATAAAAAAGAGTCCTTAAAACCGAGCACACGGAGCTCGTCGAAGCGGTCAGAACGCGGTTATGAACGAGTGAGAAGCTCCAGCAGCACCTGAGATTTTGGGGGCTGGGGAGCAATTTTGAGGTATTTTGACTGATACCATCATCCCATCGGGACACTGGGAGGAGAGGCCAAATCAGGGGCAGGAAAAGCATCTTTTCCTTCCCTTGTGGCCTTTGCTGCCATTAGGAATGCCCTCTCGAGACAGTCTTTAGAGACCTTTTGGCCATCTAGGGAGGAGAGGCGCCCCCCCCCTCCAAAGAGAGGGTGGCATGCGGCACGGGTCCTCTTCCTCCAGCGCATTGGGGCACAGAAGAGACTGTGCCAGCCCCCTGTGGCCGCTCAGTGCGCCTTATGCGTGGGTCTCGGTGGAGCTCGGCGGCGGCAGAGGGCGAAAGTCTTTTCCACCGCGTGTCTCGGAGTCGAAATGATACACATGTTCATTTTGGTTGGGGTGAGGGAAGTCTGAGCACTCGAGCTGCCTGCTTCCACGAAGCCTGGCCCCGTGTCAGACCCCTGCTGAAACTAGCAGTCCCACAAAGGCAAGAGTAGGTAGCCAGCGTGCATCAGGAGCCAGAATTGCGTATCTGCTTTGCTGCTCATGTCATCCTGTGAACCATATGACACTTTCCAGAAGTCAGATCCACCTTCTAAGGTCAAAAGATTCTGCCCCCCGCCACCCCCCCTCCCTGCCGCCAACTGCATCCCTGCAAGGCATTCCCAAAGAGGAAGCCAAAAGTGTGCCATGCGGGGCTGGCCTCCCACAACCTGGGCACACAGTCTCCAAGGAAGAAATATTCAGCCACAGGTCTGACTCACCTCCCAGAGCTCCAGGCCAGTGAAAGATGGGGTCAGGAAGTCAGAAGACACTGGGACTCCTCGCGAGTTCACCACATGGTTTTCACCACCCATAGACCCAGTTCCTTTTCGACAGCTGGGAAGCTTCGAGGGCGGGGGACAAAGCAAAAGCCATCTTTGCTCACTGGACCCTCCGGTCGCTCTGCTCTCCTTCCTGCCATGCCTGATACGACAGAGCAGGTGCTTTTGCAAAATCTCCCCGCTCTCTTTTTAAGTCCCTTCTTCCCCTGAGGCTGCCCGCAGGGGAGCTCCCTTGGTCACTTGGAAGGGGCGACGGCCACAGCTCCGCATGAGGCAGGGCAGGCCAGCATAGTGAGAAGCAGTGGACTGTTGCTTGGAGCGCTGTCAGCCGAGGAGGGGCTGGGGAAGGGCCCCCGTCCCCACACCCTCGATGAGCACAGCCGCAGGGACACTCGTCTTAACAGGAGGGAGTGTGCCCTACTCCTCCCGTCTGTTGGGTGGACATGTCCTGACCTAGGGGAACAGAGTGTCGCCAGACACACGTGCTTGTTGACAAGTGGCTTGCAGTGAGCACAGGGTGACCACAAACGGCTCTTTCTACAAGGGTTGCACTGTGGCCCCTGATGGCTCTCCAGCCCCCCACCCCCGGTGTCCCGGGTGCTCATGATCCGCTCTGCAAAGCCTCCCTCTCTTGGTGGCGACACAGAGGCCGGCCTCAGCCTTGCCCACGCCCCCGTCAGAAGCACGGGCCCCCCCGGGGGGGGGGGGACCTAGGGGGGGGCTTCCTTGCCCCCACGGGCCCCCCCCCCACGTGCCCCCCACCCCGTCCTCACCCAGCCCCACCCCCGTGCGGTCGCCGGGACAGCAGTGCAAGCCAAACTTTATCTCATTTTCTCTCCCACAGATGGAGGTAGTGAGTACCTTCAAGAGAAGCGGTTCATTTCAGGGCGCCGTGCGCCGGCGGTCTTCGGTCCTCGGCCAGCTCCATGACGTAACCAATCTTTCTGCCCCTACTCACGTAATTCTCTCCGCCGCCCATCCCACCAGTGCCGCTGGGAGTGAGTCTTGAGTCCCCTTTTCTCTCATAAATGGCATCTCTGGGGAGAAAAAGCCTCCCCGCCTCTTCCCTCTCTTCTCTCCGGTCTTGCGGCCTCCGCTCATGGTCACGGTGCTTCCCTCCGCGCCGCCTGGCCCGTCCTGCCCCGACGGCGCGTTTCTCCGAAGCCATGTTGTTCCCTTACGAAACGGAGTGACTCCATGGCACTGCTGGACCTTCCGTTCTTTCCTTTGTTTGGTTTTTTGGTTTCATTCAGTGCTCCTTCTGTCCTTGGTTTTCTTTTCTCGAACTTGTCTGCATTTGCCGATGGTTCT